GCTGCTGCTGCTGCTGCTGCTAGCGGTGGTGATGGCAGTGGCGGTCAGATTAGTACGGCGCAAGGCCATGAACACTCAAACCTAAACCCTAAACATCTCTTCCACGGTAAACCAAGCTTTTCGAAACCATATTCATACTCTTCCAGTATGCTGAATCCTTGCACATAGCCTGATAGTCACGACCCCAACCCCTTGCCAAGCGGCCAGACAGGTCACCAGCAGGTCAATCGCTTCCAAGTCGCCCTCCGGAGCCGCGGGATGGTCGAAAGTGGTTCTTGTTGGATTTAGGGTTCAGGTTTTAGGGTTCTTTTGGTTTTAAGTTGCAGTGGGGCTTTCTCTCCGCAGAACAGGAGTAAGTCTCGACATCAGTCATTTGCGGGTCGGAGTTCAGGGTTTCTTGGGGTTTAGGGTTCAGGGTTGAGGTTTTTCAATACCGCCTATTCGGCCGCGGAACTCAAGCACGCTTGGACTCCCCAGAAGGTCTGAAAGCTAAAGCCCTGCCACTCCAGCCATAGAAACATGTGCTGGCAGCCCTTGTGTATCAAACCTGCTCTGACTCGGCTCAAGTCCATTCCTACTTTGGTCCACTGTGTAGCACCTACTGCACAATAAGAGTCTGGGCCCAAGAACTACAATCCGGGCTCCATTGCCTCTCACTTCAGAGTACCCCCTAAACCCTAAACCCTAAACCCTAAACCCTAAACCCTAAACCCTAAACCCTAAACCCTAAACCCTCAACCCTAAACCCTCAACCCTAAACCCTTAAACCTAAGCCCTTAACCCTAAAGCCCTGAAACCCCTAAAACCCCTAAACCCCTAAAACCCCTAAACCCCTAAAACCCCCTAAACCCTGCTAAACCCCTAAAACCCCTAGAACCCTAAACCCCTAAACCCCTAAACCCCTAATAAACCCTAGAAAACCCTGCTAAACGCCTAAATCCCCTAATCCTAAACTCCTAAACCCTAAACCCTAAACCCTAAACCCCCAAACCCCTCAACCCCCTAAAGCTCTAAACCCTAAACCCAAAAGGAACCGATGCCCTCGGCGCCTCATCGGCTGCTCGCCGCAGCCACTTCTGCGCCTCGGCCTCAGACCCCGCTTTCGGGCTTAGGGTTTTTGGGGTTTCGGGTTCGGGTTTGGGGGCTTAGGGTTTGCGGTTTTAGGGTTTAGGGTTTAGGGTTTTAGGGTTTGGGGTTTAGGGTTTAGGGGTTAGGGGTTTAGGGTTTAGGGGTTTAGGGGTTTAGGGTTTAGGGGCTTGGGGTTTGGGGTTTTGGGGTTTAGGGCTTAGGGTTGAGGGTTTAGGGTTTCGGGTTTCGAGTTTAGGGTTTGGGGTTTAGGGCTTAGGGTTGAGGGTTTAGGGTTTCGGGTTTCGAGTTTAGGGTTTGGGGTTTAAGGTTTAGGGCTTTAGGGTTTTGGGGTTTTGGGGTTTAGGGT